CGTGGAACTCCGTCACTGACTCGGCCTGTGGCACACACTTTACCAACACACTTTACCAATAAAGCACTGAACATGCCAAGTAATGCGACGGCCAGACACGACAAATGAAATCCCATTGCATGTACAGTTACCACGAGTGTAGAATAAATATCCCGCCTTATGATACGCAAGCAAGTAAGTAGTAAGCAGTTACGTCCATTGCCGTGCTATAAACCTGCTATCCCGTATCAATATCAAGCTCACGGGAACGCCAAATAAAGCCGAACAGCGAAGGTCACTTAGCATTGCGACGGATCGAACTGAACCACTACCTACTTATGTTTCCCTCTGCGGTAACACAACGTAATTCCGCTATAAAGTTACACATCGCCTGAGATACCCCGCGTAGCTCCAGCATTAGACTGGTTCGCGGGGGGAAACGTGGGGTTGGTGGATTACTACCTAGGTAGTAGATGCTGGGGAAATAGCCTCGGCTTAACTAGAATAGATGTTAGTGCAGGTACCTATTTTCTGCGGACCCCGGGTTCAGCCCCGACTTGCAAGAGGGAGGTATACCGCTTACCTAACGGGATACTGCCGAGGTGATAATACTGCTTTTCGTCAAGGAGGTCCTTTCAACTAAACTGACACGCTTTGTCCGAGCTTTCGATTATAAGTCCTTGTTTCATCGAGTTGGCGTGATTAATCAGGAGGAGACAGACAGAAAACGCACATACATACTCAAAGTATTAATATCATAAACACAGCACAACACAACAACAATGGCGAGCTCGGTCAAGGTCTCCTACTCGGGGCGCATAGCCACCATCACCCTCGACAACGAGAAGAAGCTGAACGCCCTAGACATGGACGGATACTACGCCCTCTCACAGGCCATGAGGGAGATCGCCCTGCGCGACGACGTCTATATCACCATCCTGACCGGGAAGGGCCGGTATTTCTCCGCGTAAGTCTGACACCATGTTCATCCGTATATTTATACGCGTATATGTATGTGTGTATGTATGTGTGTATGTATGTATGTATGTATATATGTAGGTATATTCACGGAGAGTGTAGTCGAGACGAGATCACATCATGGGAATTCGAGACGAGGTCAATCGACCTCGAAGATGTCCGCACAAGATACCTATACCATATATAGCATTGCCCAATTATGATGGTCTATCCACCTTCCCCCAGCCAGATAAGATGCCATCCCACATTCATCATATCTACACCCTCCCACTCCCACTCTCACTCTCACTCACGTCCCCGCTATGAACTTGCTACCTCCGAACTCAAACAAGCCACAACCAACCATTCAACTACCTAAACAACCACAATCCCCGAAGAACACCCCCCCAAACTAACTAACCTCCCCCAATTCCCAGCGGCGCCGACGTCTCCGTGGGTTCCCTCCCGTCCACGGACCCGTACAAGGACTGGCTCCGGACCTTCGTCTCCAACAACCTGAACATAGCGCAGGCCTTCTACAGCCACCCCAAGATCCTGGTGGCGGCGCTCAACGGGCCGGCGGTGGGCCTCTCGGCGGCGCTGACCGCCTTCGCCGACTTCGTCTACGCCGCGCCGCACGCCTTTCTCCTGACGCCCTTCTCGTCCCTCGGGCTCGTGGCCGAGGGCGGCGCCTCCCGCGCCTTCGTCCAGCGCCTGGGCATTAGCAAGGCGAACGAGGCCCTCATCATGAGCAGGCGCATCCCCGCCGACGAGCTCGTCGCCGCCGGCTACGTGAACAAGGTCTTCGCCTGCGACAGGGGCGACGACGCCGCCTTCATGCGCCAGGTCCTGGCCGAGGTCGACGAGAGGCTGGGCGAGCACCTCATCGGCGGGTCGCTGCTCGGCATCAAGGCGCTGATCAGGGCGCCGGAGCGCGAGATCCTCGACAAGCAGAACGTCGCCGAGGTCTTTGCCGGGCTGGACCGGTTCGTCAGGGGGATACCGCAGAAGGAGTTCCAGAAGATTGCCTCGGGGCAGAAGAGGCATAAGCTGTGAATGAGATGGGTGGGTGGATGCATGCATGCATGATGCTCGGATGTCACGAGGTCGGAGCTAATGGAATCATTAGAGCGGCGGGCGGGCGGTGAAGAGGGATGGATGGATATATATACATTTGGCATGACGAGCTTCGTCTGTGCTAGATTTATCTGCCTAGACTTGATTTGTCTAACGGTTTTTGTACTGGGCTGTATATAAATATGCTACAAATAACTCATCACAGTAGATATCATCTACGGGGGTATCAATCACGCCAGCAAACCGAACAGCAGACTCGTCCTCTTCCAGTACTCCTGTGACGCTTTCGCAAGGCGGTTCTCTGCTTCGGCGTCGAGGCCTGTCTTTTCCAATATTTCCGAAGCGAGATCGCTCATCGCCTTGTCCGACTCGCCATCGCCGATGCTGAGATAATGCTGCAGCAGATGGACGTCGAACAGCCACTGAACAAAGACGTCTTTGCTGCGTTCGGGAGGTCTCTCGGCCTCCTCTGCGTTGGATTTGTCATCAGTATCTGTTGATGGCTCGCCATCCCCATCTCCATCCGTCTTGGGCGCAGTCTCAGCCTCATCAGCATCGGGATCAGGCGCGACGAGCTCTTTGCGCCAAACATCCACAAGCTGTTGGCTAAAGACGCGCTTGAGGGTTTTGACAGCAGCCAAAGTCCAGAGATCCACCCCGGAGTTTCCCATGGACATGGTAAGATTCCGTAGAAGCTTGAAGGTGCTGGGGGAGGGTTGGGTAGGCAAGGCTGGCTCTCCCTCCCATAATGCTCGACCAGCCACGCGTTTCTGCGTCAACGTTGTCAAGGTAAATTCCTCCAGTGGCGATACGGACACATGAGCCGCAAGCTTTTCGTGCAACGAAGGGACGTTGTCCAGGCCGAAAGACTTAATACCCTCGAGCTGAGGTAGACGGCTTCGGATATCCCTCACGATCCGGAGGATATACATGGCAATATGTCCGCTCTCCAAGCTGTCCTTTCGGCCTTGCCATAGCATAGTGAGCTGCCCGTCTAGGTCCTTAAACGCCTTTTGTAGCGATTCATTAAGTCGTGTATGTAGTAGCTGCGGGTCATCCTTGCTTAAGAGATCCTGCCTTTCCTCAATGACCTCTTCGTCCTCGATTTCGTCTTCATCATTATCCCACCGTTGTCGTTTGAGCTGCTCTACTAGGTCCCCGACGTTGCCAATTATCTGATGCCATGATTCGAAGCCAGTGACAGCTCGCAAGACGGCATCATTTCTTCCATATACGCGAGAGACAACCTCACGAGTGACTTGAGCCGCGCCGACAGAAAAGTCCATGCCAAGCATCTCGTCATCCCACATGCCGCGCTGACGATCGGTGATGCCGGATTGCCACGCTTCAAGGGTGGCGGCGACTTCAGACCCAACGAGCTTGAGTTTCGCGACCTTGCTCTCGACGAGTTGCAAGAGGTGATCGTTGATGGCCTTTCGCAAGCCGTCGAGCATGATAGATGGGTCGAACCCCCTAGCCTTCCCGCCATCCCTGATCCATTGCTGCAGCGTGGTTGTGCGTAGGTCTACGATGGCTCCAAATCCGGAGATGTGCTCAAGCGTCTTGCCTAGGCCGCCGAGAACAGTTTCTTCGCCCTTCTTCGCCCAGCTGGTGAGCATCTCCCTAGCCTGTTTGCCGTCCAGATCGTCATGTCTTATGAAGGGCGTGAAGTACCGGACCTCGTCACCGCACCATCTCTCAAACATGTCCAATCTGAGACCCTCCAACGATCGCAGCGACTCATCGGCCAGGAGCGGTTTCTTCTTGAGCTCGAGTAGTGCTTCTGGCAGCTTGTTCGGGACCAATGCTTGCACGTCCACCAATGTCCTCGTGTACAGCTGGAGACCTCTGAAGACGTTATCCGCACCCCTCTCCCTCCCGTGCTCCTCATGGTCGAACTCATATGTAACCGCCTCGGCCCGAATGGTTAGAAACCGCCGCAAGGCATCCCTGGTTCCGGAGCTAGAGGACAGGCTGTACGCGGACAAGGCCTTGAGTATGTCGGCTATGTCGGTGCCGTCCCCAATCTTCTGCAGCACCTTCTCGACCGCGCGCACCAGCTTCCTCCTCAACCCATCCAAGCTCTTCTTCGCCGCCTCGACCGCGCTCCTGATCTCCTCGTCCAGCGTCGTCAGATTCCCAAAGCCGGACACGAGCAACCGGCTGAGCACGAAGACCTTCGCGGCCAGCACGAGGCGATCGCCCCGGCCCCCTTCGGCGTCTCTGCTCGTGCCGGCCCTCAGCAACCGACCGACGGCGAGCCCGCAGGCCCTCAGCAGCCTGACGCGCGCGGCCCGACCCAACGCCGCCTCGGCCTCCTCGTCGCCGCGAAATCGGCCCAGACCGGCGACCTTGCTGTCGATGACGGCGCGGCCGCACCGGCCGCCCATGTGGCCCAGCACCTGCTGCGCCGACTGCATGTCCGCCCGCATCTGGACGATGGTGTCGGCGGTGCCGAGCAGCTGGCGGTAGCTGTTGCCGACCTGCGTGCGCAGACGGGCCGACTTCTCGTCGATCTGGGTGTGTAGCGTCTTGTGGACGGCGCGGATCTGCGGTAGCGTATACGTCGTGAACACCTGTGCTGAGCTTGTCAGCGTCGATGTGTCGGGTGTAGCCATTCTCGGGGTGAAGGGGGTCGGCTCGTCCCTGGAGATAGTTCGTCTTGTCGTGCTGTTCTTTCGGGCTGGAGCATTTGCATGGATGAGGTCTTGAGCTACAGCTCGGAATGTTTACACTTATGCGACAGGGGTTTAAAAATATCGGTATCAGTACTTTGAGTTAGGCTGCTAACAGCTGAAGACAGCTGGCGGGATACAACAATTGAGCCGAAAATTACAGTTACGTATTTAACGAAACCTTCAGTGTTGAAAATGGCGTAACAACCACCAGCAAATACTTGTTTTAAGGCCCCTAACATGAAGAAAGCAAAAAGCAAAAAATATGATAGTTCTGTCATAAAAGAAATAGAGACAGAGACAAAAAGCTGATGATGAGAGTGGGACTCGAACCCACGCGGATTGCTCCACTGCGAAATTTTGTTCAGCGTTAACAAATCTGTATCGAGATGGATACGGAGAATCCTGAACGCAGCGCCATAACCACTCGGCCATCTCACCACAGATGTCTCATAGCACCCTTGTTCACGTAATTTGATCACGCGGGCGCTGTTCGAAATAGCTCCCCGGGGAAAAGAAAGAAAACCGAAACTGCAAGTTCGAATAAAATTCATAGAATCCATTTTATGCTCGAGAGAAAGTTGACGAGAGCGAGATTCTGAACTCACGCGGATTGCCCCAGAAGCATGCTGCCTGTGTACAGACAGGTAAGGATAGTAGACCCTCGAGACTTCCGCTATAGCTTCTCGGCTATCTTGCCATGTTCTTCTATGTTTGGTTAGTTAATGTTTCGCCAGGCATTGTTATAATCCTAAGGCCCAAGTAAGGTATCGAGACAGACATCAACCTGCCATAGCATGATGACAATCACCTTGCCTATGTAGGTAATCAGCTTGGCCAAGACTTCATACGTTGTCCAAGTTTGCCGAGACGTTACGCCTCTCATAAGGGAGATGTGTGTTGTCTCCGTCGAGGTTCAGGTGATGTCGCCGTCGAGCAACGCTATCCCTTCATACAGGAGTTCCACAGCTTTGTTTTGTGAGTTGACTAATTGGGCTTTTATATTTGTTTTATTCTTCCTCAAGTAGCCCACACTGTGTTACATGGTTCGATTCGCCGACAATGGGCGGGAATGACGCCGGTGGTGGTGATGCAGCTCCGCTCCATTCTGTATTCATGCTTTACCTGCCCCCCTAATCCAGCCAGCCTCCTTGCGCGCGCGGATGGGGCAGACCTTTTTGACCTCATCTCTACCCGTGCCCGCCATACACGACAATCTAGACTGGTACTCGACCGGTTCCTTTCTCGGCTATTGAGGTGCGGGGAGCCACACCTCGAGTCCTCTTGTCACCTATGAGTCGGCAAGAAGGAAAAGGTCAATACTCAGTCACAGTTACGCATAAGTCCAAACATGTTTCGAAGAGCACCGTGTCTCTGCCAAGCTGCTTTTTCCAGCAGAGATCCTTTCTCGAGGCGAGTGGTTCTCATCGTCTGAGTCTCCCCTAGCAGGCTTTTATGATCTCTTTCGTCCAATCATCGGACTGCTTTTCCGTCGCAACAACTCCCTCATCACGATACAAATCATGATGGTTTCGGGCTCAATAGCTTATCTAATGAAGGGAGCTCAGCTGGGACCACAGAAAAGGCGGAGTGGACTTGAGCAACTGGGGATATATGGACAACCCCAAAGGCGGCTGTCTGTGTTCTTAAATCACACACAGCTGACTTGGCTGTACTATGTCACGATAGGTCGTGCTCCCGTTTCCCCAGCTTTCACTCGCTGTGACGTGCACGGGTAGATATGGATACCTCTCGTTCCCTAGTGAGGACGGCTCACTGACAAGGAGATCCAAGAGCAACGCCCCGAAACCGACAAGCAGAGTTGGGTGAGTGTTGGTGACGGATATTCAGGCCCGGCCATGTGGGAGTCGATGCTATTCATTTGATACACAAGGTTGCTGTATCCGTTCACCCTTCGGATGCCGTCCGTACACAAAGTCATCTAGTCCAACACAGGCGGCTAGCAAACCGGAATCTCGTTTTCGCTTTCAGAGCATTATGCCACCATCTGAAGATGTAACCCTCTTATTATTATATCATGACCAAGGCTAATCAAGCCTTTCTTTGGTTCTTTCTATCTACATGTACGGTCAGTACCATAATACACTCCATCCCCGGGCAGAATATCTCGACATGTCTCAGTCAGCAGCTGCTGGAAACATCGCCATGGCGGCCATGCCATCTACAGATCCATTCCGCTCCTCAAGCACCCTACAGAGCGTCGCAATTAGTATCACAATAGCCTTCGCAGCTGTTGCTTTTCTAGTCGTCTGTACCAGAGTAGCTGGTAGATTATCATCACATCAATTTGGGCTTGGTAAGAACCGCATGATGCCAAAGTTCCGGAAAACCAGCTAACACAAGAAAAGATGACATTTTAGTATGCATAGCTATGGTAGGTGGCCGATGACCTATGACAGCCTGCGGAGTTCATGAACTGACGAGGTGTGGTATATAGGTATTGTCAATATTAGAAACAATAGCTACTTATATGTGTTCGTTTGAATACGATGGCTATAGTCCGGGGGATGTATGCTGACATTTCCCCAGTTATCAAGACGAATTTCATAGGGATTCGATGGCAAGACGTGCCTCCTCACGATCCTATACGTGGCCTGATATGGAATTACGCCGTGGCCATACTATATAATCCGATCCTAGCGCTGGCCAAGACGTCGCTACTACTCTTGCTCCTGCGTCTATTTGGGCAAAAGGCCGGCGTGAAGCGTTTCATCGCCTGGGTGAACAGGGCCAACATCGGGATGATGATCGCGGTCTTCTTCGCCACCGTGGTCCAGTGTATACCCGTACAGAAGACCTGGCAACCCAGTCTGGAGGGCACTTGCATAGACCGGAAGATTTTATTTACGGCCTTATCCTCGTTTAATATAATCACCGATATACTCATAATAGCGCTACCGCTGAGTATCTTTATTGGTCTAAGAATACCTCGGAGGACAAAGATCGCCCTAATACTCGTTTTCCTGCTGGGGTTCCTGTAAGCTCCCACCGCGATAGCATTCTGACCAAGAAAAGTAGTATGGGGGCTGATATCGCTTACAAAAAAGTACGACCGCCGCGAGCATTGTCCGCCTTTTCCTTTTCATCCAGGGGTTGTTCAAGCGTGGTCTGAGCACGGACGCCGAGGTCGGCTTCGTCACATCCGCCATTGAGACGAACCTCGCGATTATCACGGCCTCAGCACCGGCGCTGCGACCAGTGCTCCGGGCATGGTTCCCCAAGCTACTCCGCGTTAATCGCGACGAGGTTGTCGGCAACACGGGGCGTAGGGTGCTGGGCACGGCAGCGACGCGGATGGCACGGCTCAGGTCGCAGACGCAAGTCCGGAGCCAGAACCCTCAAGAGAACGAAGGAGCGACCGTGATGTCCAGTAGCATCGACAAGAATAATGACAGCATTGTTCGTTCCAACACTGGGTCGGATACTGGGTTAGATCAGGTTCGACCGGCTACGGCTCCTCGAAGCGAAGCAGACACCGGGAGCTAACTACCTATTGGAGAGGTGGATATAGCTTGTCTTCATCTTCGTCTTGCGAGTCGGCTACCACTGAGATGAAACCATGATATCGAGAATTGCGTGGTAATGGCTCTCCAGTGTTGTTGGATGTGGGGAATGATAATCATTTTTCAACACACACATCTGCCTGGCTCTCTCCGACTGGCGTTTAGACTAACTTAATGGTGTGTGCCGATCTAAAGGAGCACGTTGTAATTGGCATGAGGCTTTGCTCGAGAAATGTATATACTACCTACACTAATATGATAATCCGCGATTGTTTCCTAACCCGATATTCCAGCGTAACCATACGGGTACGTTCGCCTTGGCCTTGCAAAGTAGTGCGCTTGGCCAAGATCTACCCAACCACGTCGGAGCAGCGCACCCATCTAGGTTAGGTATCGGGTTAGATGACATCAAGATTGGCGGCCTTCCGGCCCTCTTACCTGACAGAACGCTCCAAGTGATGCGCCATTGCAGTCTACACCAATTTTACCATCTCGCTCGCGAGTTGGAATCGTCCCGGAGAAAGCATCAGATTCGGCGCAAATCCAATTCCCGCTCAGCTCGCCACGATCTCGATCGCGACCTGGACGAAAATCGGGTGTGTGGGATATCCCCGCGCAAATGCATTGCAACATCCTGTTGACTCAACCCGGACCTCCAACCGACTTCGGATTGTGTATGGCTTATCTAAGTAGATAGATAGATAGGTAGATCGGGGAATCTGGGTAGGGAGGTAAGTAGTAGAGACAATAGCGGGGACGCGCAGTAGGTAGCAAATCTCGGGATTTGCTCTCAAAGAACCCCAAAACCTTGATCGTAAATAGATAACGTCCAGGCATTTCGTGCATTCGGTTCCTTGTCCCTGCATTCGTTACTTGTCTGTGTGAGTAGGTTACGGATGGATCTAGGTTAGTAGGTAAGCGGAACGTGGTTTTAATTATTTGTCGCCCGAGAGGTCTATTGGGTCAAGATTGATCTATACACGTAGATCCGGACTTCCTCCACCTCATGAAATGACAACATGTCCACCATCCATGTTGAGAAAAACAGTAAGACTTTTCATAATGACAGTAGGAGGATGTAGTTACAGTGACTTGGTTAGTATCAAGTACTCGGGTACCCGCTGACTTTGGAGATCTGTCGATTTGCCAACGAGCTTTTACTCTGCATCAACGCAGGTACACCTCCCTTTCTGTTTAGGGCAGGTGTTGCTGCTCTTTACTCTTTTATTTAGTAGCTTTGCATATCGTGCAACGCAACCTTTTCCGATTTCGCCTGTCCCGATTCGTCGACACAACACACGGCGACGGATGCACACAGCGGCAGAGACGAATTCTAGGGCGATCGCAGCATGTGGCACATGGTTTGCAGATTGGGCGCAACGTCTTTGCGTCCAACCCCCTTCTCAACATCTATCGCCCCGGTCTGCCTATCTATGTCCACACGACTTCTCATCATGAGGGCCAAGACGTCATTCATTGCTTCTAACCGTAACTGAGCCAACGCTAGGACGATGAATGCTGCTACAGGTGTAACGCGGTATGATGGTGACTTTGTGTTTGGCTGCCTCGGCGGGTGTGTGGCGTTCTGAAAGACCACTAATACACTAGCGAACAATTAGTGCGAGCGGCCGTAAAATAACGCCTGGATTCCAGCGAACAGCTGCGTGTGCGGTTTCGGCTGTTTGACGCAGTCGGCGACTCTATTCCGTGCTCAAACACAATGGAGAGCGCGCCGCCCAGAGCAACCCAGCGGTGGAGGGCCTGGGGGTTCCGCCCTGTACTGATATATATGAAGACGAGAAGGTCTTCTAGGCTATGCGAGACAGAGACATCGCCGCCCTGAGGGTGCTGAAAACTGGGGTTGAGGCTGACAGCGCATGGGCACCGCCGACTACCGGCCATCACGTGTGACGAGTT